ACGACAATAGATAGAGACGTTAGCCAGTTGTGCGAGGTATCGGCTGAGATTTGTGGAGTACAATTCAAAAAACAACTATAGGTCTAATAATGAATTATTGTGATGTTAAATAGACAATGTTAGCTATATTTTCATTGGGACCTTCGTCTTCAAGGCTAGGCCTATACCATCCTAACTAGTCTAGGCCTAGAGTAGGATAAGGCTAGCATGACATGCGGACATTGGTACGAATAGGTTAGTCTACAAACGTCGCCTAAAGTAATTGATTTTACCCAGCAGAACGAAAGAAGGAAACTGCGCTTTTCAGTCGTCTTAGGCACTCGTTTTTTGACAAACAATGACCTTTCAGAGGTCAAATTGCTGTCAAGAATATGAATTGGCTGCTTCGCAGCAATGAGTTTAATGTTATGATTCTATACCTAATCTCATTGGATTAGGCTACATATACAGTTCAGCCACATCATTATTTGTGAGCTATACAGTAAAGATCTGATAATATTATATCCATTGAATGTGTATTACTTTTAAAATATTAAACTTATTATTATTAATTACCACAAATATTTGCACTATAGATCTAGTTAGTCTGTTAATGTATTAAGTCTGATAAAATATTAGACCTGATAGACAAAGTATATCTGACCTATCCTACGTACATAGACTTGTGTTCTACAGTCCAATGAATGATTGATGATGATGATGAATGCAGAATGTTATAATTTCCACTAAATCAGAATTAAAACTAACAATCCATTTCACTGTAAATTCTTGTGTGATGGAACAAGATAGAGTAGCTAGCTTTCCTGATTATATAAACAATTTATTGAGATGAATGTCTTTTAATTCCAATTACCCAACGGAGTATTCTTGACCATGCTGACGACAATTCCATACATGTTAAAAAATGCTGGGAATTTTGTCACAAGCAATTTTCTATATTATTTGAAATTTATTTATTTATATCTATCCTCTCTTGAAGAATATCGATCACATACATATTCAATAGTTTATTTTTGTATACAGTAGTTCCTGATTCTAAGCAGCAAGCATCCAAATTCCTATTTTAGCGAAAATTATATAATGAATTTTTAATGTCAATTTATAAATAAATCTTGATTCAACATAAACATCTGGTTTTTCTTGAAATCAAAATGTTCCTAGTAGAAATCCTTATAATGACCAATGAAGGGTCTTAAATTTTGTATGATTTAATTGAAAATGAATTAGTCTTTTTTTAATATTTTTAAACTTTTTTTTCTTTTATCTTGTAATTCATAGTATCGGCAGCAACTGGAATGGGACAAACTCAACAATGAACAGATAAATGCAAGCAGAACTGTACAAGTAAGACATTGATTTTCATTTTGAACCTGATAGGTAAGTTTAATGCTAAAGGGTAATGGTGAATAGAAAATATATTTATTCTGAAGTCAACTAAAACCAAGGAAGCTAAAACAACCTCAAACAGACCAATGCACAGGAACTAACATCATTGCACTATTCACCTGCAGTTCTAGACCACCAACACACAGCTATTGTAGGTCCATAGTAGGCATCTAGTCTAGCACCGCCCCCCCCCCCCCACACTGCCAGTGGGTGACACTTGTAAATACTGACACGGTGAGCTCTCTCTATCTGCCTCTATCTTCAATATTTGCGAAAATAAAAGCGTGTTTAAAAGAAGCAAGAAATTAAATGGTTTAGAAAAATGAGTAATGAGTATTTTTCCATCATGGTCACCTTATGTGGATGATAATAATAATAATAATAATAATAATAATAATAATAATAGTAACGTAATGTTATTTTCCACATAACGTAATGTTATTTTCCCCATAACATCGTTTTTTTAATTGCTCTCTAATTTCTCCATTGCCTAAGTTCCTCTTAAGGTAGGTTTTAGTAACATCATCATCATGGTGATGGTGATGGTGATGATGATGATGATGATGCGCTAACTCGGACTTAAGGGGAAAATCTTTTGTGTTATATTCTCCATAACATCGTGTTTTTTTTAATTGTTCTCTAATTTCTCCATTGTCTAAGTTCCCCTTAAGGTAGGTTTTAGTAACATAATAATGATAATAATCATGATAATAATAAAAGCAATCATATTTTGTCATTTTTTGATCAGCAACTCAAGTCTAACATTAAAGAGATGCAGAAGCTCCGCAATCAGATATGCGAGGCAGACGTGGAAGAATTTGACATGCGTGTACAGCCCACGCAAATTCAAGCCATCGAGGCTGTTATAAATTTCATGGGTGAAAATGAAGAGGTAGAATCTATATTTGGTGAAAGTAGCCATGATGATTTAGGAATTTTTGGTCAGGCAGATAGCAGCACAAAACTAGCAGCAGGAAGTCAAGGTATTCATTCATTCCATTCTTTTATTCATTAAATTTTTTTATTTATTCTATTCTTTTATTAATTCCATTCTAATCATTCATTCATTCATTCTATTCATTTCATTCATTCATTCATTCATTCTATTTGTTCATTCATTCATTTATTTTCTCTAATTCATTCATTCATTCAATTATGTGTCTATTTATTTAATAATAATGATAATTATAAAATTATTAATTGATAATAATAAATAGTAAATTTACTTCTTTTTAATTGTTTACAGTGCACCCTGTAATTTGAGACCCCTCTAATTCAAGACCACTTTTCAAAGAACCAAATAACAATCATCTATTTTTGACACACAGATAACCCTCTCAGTGGAAACTGAACCGTGAGATCACCTCGAAATTGCCAGGTCCCAAAGTGGTCTGGAATTGAAGGCCTATCTGTATTTGTATATTTATGAAAAAAATATATACATATTGTAATTTTTATTCCAGTTGATTTATATATAAATATAAAAACTCATCCTATCATTTATTATTATTATTATTATTGTTATTATTATTATTATTATTATTATTATTATTATTATTATTATTATTTCTCTAAATCGGACTTAAGGGGAATATCTTTTGTGTTATTTTGCATTTCACCGTCGTTTTTTTTAATTGTTCTCTAATTTCCCCATTGTCTAAGTTCCCCTTAAGATAGATTTTAGTAACATCATTATTATTATTATTATTATTATTATTATTATTATTATTATTGTTATTATTATTATTATTATTATTAACAGAGAATCTAGGTGATTATGAGAATAGTGTAGCAGAGACAGGATTCACAACACAGACGCAGGAGGAAGAGGAGGGCAGCAGAGCCTCAAAGGAATCATGGAGGCACTTACAACAAGGCCTCATCGAGCTCAACTCAATAATTCAAGACTTTGCTTTATTAATTAAGGTGCGTAAATGTATTGAATATTCAACAGAAAGTACATTTCCCACTTGTAAACAGAAATATATGATTTTAAATAAACTCACATGTCGCTTTATACTAGCTAAGGCGAGACTTTTATTCTTTCTTTAGCGAACCAGCTGACAATCAAATTCCAAATAAAAATGACATTTTATTTTTTGCCAATTAGCGCATTCACTGCCACAAAAATATGGAAAAAAGAAATTTTTTATTAATTTTTACTATGCTTCTTCGAAATCCTAAAAAACGGGAAAGCTATTTTTTCTCCTAATTATATAAATTTGAAGCCCCAATCCCATTACTACACTGTTTACAACTAAGTTGCTTGATTTTTTTTTCTTTTTAGGGTCAGAAAGAACCTGTTTCAAGCATTGAGGACCACATTGATAGTGCTCAAGCCAATGTTCAAAAAGGGACCATGCATCTGTTAAAGGTTAGTCCAAAATAGGTGTACTACAGTAATCCTGTGTTTACACCTTCTGCAGGCTGGCCATACAGTTTATTTATATTCCAATACTGGCTCAGGGCCAATACTGCAGTCACGTCAATCAATCAATCAATCAGAGGCAAATAATACAATAGTCTCCATTTGCTGTCAAAAAATTTAAAAAAGGAAGATACTGTATAAGTGGAAAAAACATAACAGAAGTAAAAACAACACAGAATTCCATTTCCAGCAAAATTGACTTATATCTCACTTCACAAACCTGCTGCATGACAAATTGCAATTTTGAAAAAAAAAAAATTGCCCACCACCATCTCATGATAATAAAATCACATTGAAAAAAAAATTAAATGTAGGCCTACAGCTTTTATCAGTCCAGTTTCTGACCTGTTGATATCGCCACAACGCATTCTCAGAGGTTCCAAACCTCCCGATTCGATTGGGAGTCTCCCGAATTTACATGCGATCTCCTGGTCTCTCAAATTTGTTCAAGTTCTCCCGAATTTCAAAACGTAGGCCTAGATTTGTTGTAATTACCACCTCATTTAACGTACGGCCTGTAAAATATCATGGGATTTGCACGGTAAAATAGAAGAAATTACTAGGTCACATGAATAAAAATTCCAACTGGTGTCTTATAAATTATGTTTATACACCTCGAAAGACGTTAATACTATCAGAATATTTCGACGTTGAGGGTGCTTTTCACTAAATTGTGGGAATGGGGGCGCCTTACACTCTCCCGTCTCCAGATTTTTTAGGTCTAGGGGTTGGAACGTCTGCGTTCTTTATATGACAACTTAATTAGACGTTTATTGAGGGCCTAAGGTGTCTCAATTACTTTTACTTAATATTCGCATTTTTTTTATTTCTCAAAATTTAATTTCATGAAGACCTAAGGTTTTTTTTTTTTTATTACTTTTATTGTGGTTATTGCTACTGGCAGCTGCTGCTGCTTCTTTTATCTGTGGTAATAATATTAATATTATATTCATTACTTTAGTAATATTACAAAAATTATTGTTCTATTACTGCTGCGATTTTATTATTGTAATAATTAATTTATGATATAATTATTGTTATATTGTATTTGTTAATTATATTGTTAAAAACTTAGTTTCTCTTCTTTTATTAAAGGCAACCAGACTTAAAACGGCTTTATTTCCAGTTACTGGGGCCGTTGTTGGCGGGTTGGTTGGTGGACCCATCGGATTATATGCTGGCATGAAAATTGGTCTGCTTGCAACCGGTGGTGGCGTTATTGTTGGTTATGCAGGTGGGCGTGTTTTGAAGACATCTATCAACAAAAGCAATGACATCCCATTGGTGGAGATGTCCGAGAAACAGGCGCTTAGTGCTTCAGATTTAGATTAACTCCTAAATCTTTTGAAATTAATTTTTATGGGTAGCAATTACCCTGTTTATTATGACGAGAACTGCAGAATGCAGTACATTGGGACTGGTGGATAACCAGGGGTCACTAGCCTTGGAATGAAAATTGGAATGGCCTCCACACTCCCGCAAGCAAGAATCTCCCAGAAATTCACAACATTGGATGTTTTTACTACTTTTTTATCAATTGTCTCACCATGCACCGATCAGAAAAATGTAATTAGGGTATTTAACCAGTGACTTCTTCTAACTTTTGACCACTGTTGAACTATCAGATCACAGGCATTCCATAATTCTATGCCTGTGACATACAGGCTGTAGATCGTCATCTTTTGGAAAGAATTGTAGCTGTTATCCCTGTAAAGCATGACTATATGCACATACAATAATGTATTCAAAGAGAGTTGGGAATTGTCTCTGAATGTACTGCCCAATTCATCGCCATGGAGGGAGCTGCATTGCGGCTGTTGTGGATCCATAGGGGCCCAGCCCGAGTTTCCCAATTACAGTACACAACTAGGACCAATGGTTAACTTACTTTTCTTTAAATATGGTTATATATAGGTGGTTGTTCACAATCAACATTTTCAATAGCACATAACAGGGTGTTACTATCATACATCTTGAACAGTGGCAGGGACCCAGGGAAGGACTTTCACAGATAGGGGTCTGCACCACCTCAGCCCCACCGGGGTTGGGACTGAGGCAAGAAAATTTATGATTAGGGCCCTGCGCCTAGATGGCTGGAAATGGCACTCTTAAATTTGAATGCAATTTTCTTTATTTCTTAATTTTTTATTAAATAATTTTGTCAAATTTGGGTGGGGCCCCCTAGGCTGGCTGGATCCCCTTTGAAATCGCCACTGATGAAAATGTTGATTGAAATTACTCCACATTTATCAAATTATTTTCATAGCTGCTGAAATTCATTACATAGTAAATGATTCAGTATGGTTTCATGTACAATTTCAGTGGAGAATGGTAATACAGTATAAATGTATTCCCACTCTTTTTTTTGTCCTAAATATGTTGATGCTGTAATTATGAATGCCTCATAAAGATGTATCCCATCTGATTACAGTTGGTTTGTAGTTAAAAGTGAATACTACTGTATATGTAGTTTTTAAATGCTTCAATCTCAATTCATAACAAAATGTGCAAGTTTTTGTGAATATTAAATTTTAGATAGATATGTTGTTTTTTTTGCAATATTTCTTTTTGTGAATTAAAAAATGCCTATAGCTTCCATTGCAGCATTTATGGCCAAATATTTAATTTAAAAAATGCTTCCTACACCCACAAACATGAAGTATTTAAAACAAGTAGTTCAATTTGTCAACCTTACTGTCAAATTGACCTTTGAAAAACATGATTTTATGTCTAGGAATGCTATTTTCAAGTTGCCACACACTTATCTTTTTCTTTATTAAACTCTGCTTCAACCACAGTATGACTGAGGTGTGTGTGTGGCCCACTCTCTGGAAATTGTAATGCACCCTTGATCAATAACTTAGCTACAGGCCAAGTTATTGGGTGGTAGTACTGTATATATTTGTAATATTTATGAAATGTTGGGAGAATTTTTTAATTAAAGATGTGATTGATAGCACTAAAATGGTGTTATATTGCAACTATCAGCGTAGTATCAGATTTTGCGGATGATAGACGTATACATCATGTTTTATGAACTTTAAAAAACAAACCAGGTGTATATAGGCAAACTATGTATATGTAGAATGAATGTGGAAATTAATATAATTTCCATTCAAAAATGAACCGAACAAGTTTACTGCACATCATTTTAATGTGTAACACTGCATAATCCAATCAAACTAATTTCCTGATTAAACATGTTATATCGTCATTGCGGACTTATAAAATCCGCATATGCCTTAAAACTAAAAGAAAATGCATACTTTTGGAGTCTGTACTGAGCCCAAAAAATCCACAATGAAAATATAACGTGTTATTAGATGTGAGAACCATCATGTAACCCAATGTCAACCCCTGTATAGATCAATGATGGCACCAGAATCTGCCCGGAAGAGGGGTGCCATGTGAGTGAATGGGAATTTAGGCAACGCCTAGGCTTCACTGATGTGAGGGATATAGCTCTACTGGTATCAATACAGTACATTACTTTGTTCACCAGGTGTACTGTGAAAAGTAAAACTGAAATAATGACCATACAACTTGTTCAAGAGATAAGATACTGTAATTTATTCTATTAATTGTCAAGAAGAGAATCATCTGAAATTAAAACATGTACATGATAACCATTAAAAATTCTGAGCAATTTAAACAGTTTAAAAGCCATGAGCAGCAAAATTACATCATGAAGGAAGATATTTAATTATATCATAGAACACAGAAAATACTTTACTGAACAGCTGCAATAGGCAATATTGCTGTTATTGTTAAAGATGTACTGACCCTTGCAAAAAACAAACAAAAATCATTTTTGAAATTTACTTGCCCATTTTGAAGTAACATAAAAATTATCAACTTGAACATAGAAATTAGTGTATTTAAAAATGCTTACACATAAAAACCATTTTACAGCGAAAAAATTATAGAAACACTTCCAGTCACTGGAAGTGTTTTATTATCTTTATTATAATTATCCAGTTAAAAAATCAGGGAACACATTTTTTTAATTCAATAATTTCTATGCTCAAGTTTTGTATGTTACTGCAAAATGAGCAAGGGACAGTACATCTTATAGATTGTATTGTCTGATGAAAACTTCCACAGGAAAAGTTGAAATGTTCATTTAAAATGAATGGGGTTAAGCATTAAAAGTGTTGAAAAAAATACCCTGAACTGCAAACTCTTAGGATAAATCTTACTATCAACAATACAGTTAAACTTACCTAAGTCGAATCCAAAATAGCATTGAAAAATTGTTCGACTTCGATAAAATTTGACTTGCAGATGGTTATTTAAGTGAAAACACAACAATTTGACATGCAAAATAAAATCCACTTAGGCAAGTTTAACTGTATTTCATTTAAATTTACCATCAATGCTAATGAGATATGATTATGTAAATGGGAGTTAAGAAAACAATGTGTACTATTAATCACCAGAAAGAAGAGATGGATCAGTAGTTAAATCACTACAAAATTACAATTATAAAGTTTTCTAGTTTCCATCTGACAATACATTAAACAAATTAAACATGATTTTATTTAGGATTATGGTCAATGGCTGTGCACTTGTATAGTGCATATAACATTCGTCTTTATGAAAACAGAAAAGAGAGCAGTAGAGGAATAACTACACAAATAAAGTGAAAAAAAATAAATAAATGAAAACAGTAGAGTGAAGGTTTGTCAAATAAAAATGATTATCATGTCACACATTACAATCTGCAGATGATAGGAGACAAGAGATGTATCCATTGGCCAGTCAATATTGTTTTCACAGGATTTGTAGGTCTAATGATGGTAAAATGTCGCAGCATTATTGAATTAAAATTTTATTAAAATTATAGTATAATATAAAGATATTCTACACATAATCAATGTACCAATGTATTAACAAACTAAACAAAACAATACTATTTAAGGTATAATTAAAAAAAAAAACAATTTTTTCCTAAATATTACTCAATAGCAGGGGTTCCAAGTATCCTGCGAGTTGCGGGAAGTCTCCCAGAACTCGGGATACACACTCCCACGAGGAAGCAAGGATCTGGCATTTGGTTATTAACATACGCAGCAAAATAAATTAAGGAAAGCTCATTTAAGATCGTGGGTTCTTCCAACTTGGAACCCCTGTGCTCCATAGCGTCCTGAATAAAATACTTTAACTTGCATTCTCTAATGTTTTTAACTGTTACACCTGGTGTTTTTTCACCTTCAATTATTACATAAGCACACAACTATCTTGAGGAGGAAGGCAATGCTAATGGTTTAGTCACAAATAAAAAAGCTAATCTCAAAATAAATTTGTAACCCCTTATAAAATATATTAATTAAATTTACCACGTAATATTATCATAGATGTAGTGGGATTACCTGCTGACATTTAATTATAGAGCCCTGCCCAGATTATCAAATTTTATTTGATAAAAACATGTGACATACCTAAATATGGTCAAGATGATGTCACATTATGATCATATATAGGCACATCAAGACTATATTATGGGCATAAAACAGTTTTTTGTCAAAGAAAATTTGATAGTGTGGGCAAAAGCTGAACACTGAATGATAAACAGATTAAAACAACTCTGTTTTTGTTGATTTAAGGCCAACTCAGACAGCGTCGTACAACCCAGCTTAATGTTAATTTGTTGTCGCATCAGGTCTATGCGAGTTAAATGCAGACGCGATAGTTTGTGTGGGGGACAGTCACGTCGTAGTATATTTAACATGTTGAATATTTATCACCACGGCTTAAGACTGTCCCCGATGATGAATCGTGTCGGGCTGCATTGTTCGACGCCATCTGAGTTAGCCTTTACAGACTTTTTGAGACCTGCCACCACAATATTGTGAGTAAAGTCGCTGTGTGTAAAATTAAGATCGATAAGTCGAAATATAAGTAAATATCCTATCTCACACAGTTCAATGGAGTATTTCATTTTAATCATATCTCGGTTATTTCTCAATTGATTTTAATGATTTAAACTCTGTGGTAATGTACAATTTGTGTACAATATATGAGAATTTATTTTTGACATGTCAATTTTACTCTTATTTTATGGTAGCAGGTCTCTTTTATGTAAAAAATCCTTAAAGTCACTGCCAGCTAATTTAAGAGTCTGTGCAAAGAACATAGCAATGGTGATATTTATTTGCCTGTTAACCAATAAGAAAAATGTTATTTTTCTAAAATATACAAAGTAAGAAATTCCCTGTTCAAGTAGTTGTTTTTTTTTTTTTTTTTGTTGGCTCACATTTAAAGGTATACTGTCACCCAAATACCAAGAAAAAAATAGATTACAAATTAATTTGAATTTCCCATTTAAAAGAGCGTAAGTGATTTACTTTAAGTGATAAATTGAAAAAAGGTTTTCAATGTTATATTATTATATAATATAACATTATATATTATTATTATATGTTATAGTTATATTGTTATGTTATTATTATTATATTATATTAAAAGAATGCTATATTTAAGTTCAAATAATTACCAAGAAAAAATATTTTTCCAATTCTAATTTGAATGTAAGTAACTTATTAAAGCATAGAAAACAATTAATTTAATTCATAAGTTCATATTAGTTTAGGTTGGCAGTGTACTTTTAAACATTAACAGGTCGAGTAATAACTACTTTGATTTACCTATGAATATTGCAGGGCCTAGAGATAATTGACTGACTGATGTATTTATTGTTTATTCATTGATTAGCGATTCATATCACAATTTATTGAAAAAATGTTTAAAAAAAAAGACAATCAAGAAGCCTTTGTTATCAGATTAGAAATATAAATGTTATGTCCAAGCAACAGACGCAATTCAACTGAATTAAAACAGCAAATTTTAAAAAATAAACAAACAAGACAGAATAAGCAGTAAGTAATTACATTTAATTAACTCACATCGAAATCGATTTAATTTAGTTAAAGTAGAAAATTCTCTCACCAAATGTTGGCCACACAATTAAAAACAAAAAGAGGAAAAAATTGGACAAATATGTCTAAGCATTTATAAAACCCTGCCCAGACTATCAAATGTTATTTGACAAAAACATGTGACATGTCTAAATATGGTCATGATGACATCACATCATGACCATATATAGGCACATCATGACTATTTATGGGCATAACAGGTTTTTTTTTGTCAAAGAAAATTTGATAGCGTGAACAGAGTACTGTATAAAACACTGAAAATCTCAAAGCTCATCGCGAGCCATAGAGTATCGCTGAGTGCTTGGTTTTAATTTCACGAACGTGCTCTCCGGAGGCGTGTCGGGGACGTCACGCTTCTCCACTTTATTGGCAGTAGGGGAATCTGTTTGCTTTTCGGTCTGTTGTTTTTCTGTCGGATCTGGGCCGTGGTGAAATTCACGATGAAGCTTTCCTGAATGCAGATCCTTTATAAACTGTCGTAGTTTGCCTGGAACACTGATGAAAATGGTTGAAAACGTTAATAGTGGTGTGATACTTATGTAACATGGTATAATATTAATAAAAATAATATATCAATCTAGTATAATGTTAATAATAATAATCAAATATATCATTGCTTACACAACAAGAGGTTTGTGCTTGTTTATGAAAACAGTAAACATTTTTTAGCGCAAAGTTTTTGGCATCCATTTCTGTATTGAATACTATACAAAATATTTGTAACGACAAATAGTGACACACTGTTTTCATTGCTTAATTTTGTGTTGTATTCTATGACAATAATGCGTTTGTTTTCTGTTTTTTAATTCATGAGTAGGCTTAAAATATAATGTATCACCAAACTAATTCACAACAAAATTATAATAATCATCAATCAGCCCATTTAAAGGCCACTACAAAGTATCATACATTTGTGTTTGAAGAGGATATTAATTCATTTTTCAAATAAAAGCAAAATTACTTTCTATACAAGTCTCTGGTATTACCTCACTTAGACTACGGTCTACCTGCATGGATGCCCCACACAAAAAAACAACGTACTCGCTTAGAGCGCGTCCAAGAATATGCCACTCGTAGAATCATGAGAGTTGGTAGAGGGGAAATCCCATATGATATTAGATTAAAATCCAATAAGCTTTTGTCGCTTGAATGCCGCCAAAAACAGATTTTAATTTCTTTTGTTTGTAAATGCCTCTTAGGTTATATTGATTGTTCTATTATAAAAGAATATCTATCAATTAACACTAGACATCAAACCACTTTGACTTTTAATCATCTGCATTCTCACACTGTAGTTCATCACAATTCTGTTATTGTACTTTTTCCTCGAATTTGGTCAAATTTGCCTGATAGCCTTAAAGATGTGTTGATCTGCGAGTCACATGGATCCTTTTTAAACATCCTACGTTCCCATTTTCACACTATGTAACAGTTTTATTATAAATTTTTGTCTTTTTCTTTTTGTTTTGTTTTGTTTTTTTTAACTTAATTTTAGCTCTGTATCTTTATTATTTATATATATTTTAAATATTTCACTTTTGATGTTTAAAATTGTAATTTTGTCTTTTTATCATTGTATTTTGTATGAGGCGGCAGCTGACTTGAAAAAAGTTATAGTGATGTGTTTGCTTAAGCTGCCCCCAACCTTGTTGTTCTAATAAATAAACTGAAACTGAAAACTTAAAGCCAGGCAATCACTGCATCATACAGCGGTTGTACAATGAATGAATCTGATAAATCCAGCTCCACTCCCAGTGAAGGTTAGATGATGCACCACTTTTTGTTGATTGTCAATGGCAGTTCGAACATATCATCATAAAAAAAACAATACGTTGCGCACACGTTGTGGCATTCTACAGAATCATGTTTTGGCGTTCCATAATCTCATCGGCCGACGACGGTCGAGTGCAGTGAATGCCCGGCTTTAGATATATGAATTAGATAAACTATTATATCATATGAAAGAGTCTTACTTCATTTGTTTTATATCTTTGAAAAGGTACATATGTCTAAAACTATCAATGGCTAGGACGGGTAGATCCCTGCTTGATTTGCCCAGATGAGACAGAGGGTTATATATATATATATATATATATATAGTAGAACCACTATAACCAAAAATAATAAAAACACTTCCAGCGACTGGAAGTGTTTCTATCATTCTTTGCTGGAAAAAAATGAGTAAACATTTTCTTAAATACACTAATTTCTATGTTCAAGTTGATAAGTTTTATATTAATTCAAAATGATCAAGTTCTTTTCAAATATAATTTTGTTGGTATTTTTCATTGGACAATCTTAATAAGGGTTTTTAATTGACCTAAGAACAAGTTACAATAAATGTAAACTAATTTGTAACAATAATTTGCAAAATTCATTTATGATACAGAATCAGCATTGCATATTTGACCAGTTTGCCGATGACAAAATGATGGCCATGTAAGCATAGCAAGCTAGGTGGAAGCATGCTCTAAAAAGCTGTTCTCAAGTTAATAGTAATATTACACTTTGTTGTCCTGTTTCTTGATTTCTTGTGCTATATCACTGTTTTGATACCTTGTGCAATTTTATATTGATTCAATTCTGAATAATTGTTAATATAAATTTGTGATAATTTTTAGAGTGAAATAAAATTAATATTATAATTCAAGTCCAATTTAACATGTAAAATGCCTTTATATTGGATGAAAAATAATTTCAATCAATCAATTAATCTTTAAATCAATCAATCATGTTGACAACATCAACTACAATGTTTAATAACAAAAATAATCAAACTAATATAGGAGTTTGTAAAGCAAACTTTACAATCAGAAATGCAATGTGCTGAGAAGTTGTTGGAAAATATTTTTACCTCTTTCAGGAACTAATTCTCGAGCAACTATATCATTATATTTCTGCACAATCTCTGTGTCACTTGGATCATGGAACAAGATAAGGAATGGTATTCCCTCTTCTGTCAATTCCTATGGGAAAGATAAGGAAAATGGAAGAAACAATACAGAATGAAAGTATGAAATATTAATATAATAATTTACATAACTTATTTAATTGAGGTCTATATGTTAAGTTACTAACAGAAAAAGGTAGGGTGTGAGATAAAATTCTACTGGACCCGGGGGATTTACACTACAAGTGAAAAAAGGTCATGCAAACCATGTACTAATGAACAATTAGTGCATGGTTTGGGATAGGAATACAACAGTGGGGGTTACAGTGGTGATGTCACAATTGACATAATATTAATTAGTAATCATTAATGTGTTCTTTGATATTTCGGCAAGCCAAGTAGAGGCCCATTTACACACTGGCTGAATAGGTTCCTTTAATAACTGGCAGTGGCGTATCTAGGGGGTGCACGTTTAGGCTCTCCAAAAATTACATGCACCCCCACCCCCAGTCGCCCCCAAAAATCACTTGCAAGTAGTTAAAAGTCAACTTGTTTTGCGAGTTAGCGCCCCTGAACTGATCATCTAGTCCTGCCGCCCCTCCACCTCAACTTAAGGTAATCAGGCTTTCCAGTGCGAGTTACAGTGATAATTAATATGTTTGTGACAATAGTAGTTTAATTTGCACTGACCTAAAGAACTGTTTTGACCCAATACACTGTCCTGAGTGCACTGTTAAGCCTGGTAGCAACAAATTTGTGATTCCTACAAACCTAAAGCCCAGTGCAGGCTATCACATTTTATTGATGAACCATGTGACATGCCTAAATATAGTCATCACATCTTGACTATTGTTATAATAATAATATACAGTCTAAATATAGTTCTAAGACTTCTTGTGCACGTGCAGTAAGGCCGCATACCTAGTTATGCACATGAGCATGTAGCGAGCACACAGAAAAAAAGTAAGGCAAGAGAAAGACAGAGACATACAACACCACTAAATATGGGCATACAACAGTTTTTTTCTCAAAAAGCATTTGATAGTATGGATAGGACTTTAGCTGTCCCCAACACAATTGGGAGGGCTCCCTATTAACCACAGGTGAACCAGGTTCAACTCTCTCAGCTGTCAGCGATAAATTATAACCACTAACCAATCATTTAATATCTTTTTTATCATCGTTGTCTCTCCTCAACGATTACCACACCTGATTTTCACAGTGATGATGTCGACAATTTAATAAATAAATTATTATAAATTATTTGTGTTAATAAACAAATTACTACACACCTCTCCATTTTCAAATGTAATTTCTCGTACCAAAGGCATACATTTATCATTACTCCAAGTAACCAAAAGGTCAAAGTTTGTCAGTGGACCAAGGTACAACATATCACGTTCTTTCGTCTGAAAGGAAGAATGTATAAAAAATAGCAAAGATGCATTAACATTGAATACACATGATGATGTGCTTTATTTCACCGGAGTGGGCCATGTGGTTACAAGCAACCATTAACATAATTTGTTGAATTCAAGAAAAACCAAGTTTTTAATAAATATGTAATCCTCCTATAATCCTCCTATAATGCAGGTAAAAATACGTTATTTACTTTTAATACTTTAAAATATGGCAATATTTAGCTTGATGTTCATAAAAAAGAAAAAAAGAACCCAATTTATTAGACATGGTTGATTATGATCTAGATTAGATTAACAATCAAACACTACTTTCGAATCCAATCGTATCAGTTTTTTGAGAACTTCCCTATTAAATAATGAGTGAAGGCCAAATATCCACTACTGTGAATACTGTAGATAATACTAATACTAATAATGTAAGTCAGATGCCAGTTTCAGTTGTGTACCTGTGAATTATGAGCCTGCCAACTACTGCTTGCCAGTAGAATTTAAATTGCAGGAGAATGGGGCAGTGATTCTGGTCCCTCAGTTTTTGCTGTTCTTTTATTAGGCTTTTTGGTTAGCTTATCTGGGCTTAGTTTTTTCCCTTTTTCCTTTCGGTTCACTCAGCGCATAGAGAACTTGGTATTATGCGCTATGTGTAATCTAATCACTGTAATATGTGGCTGGACTAAAGTTGCTTACCTTTGGGGGTCTAAACATAATACTTGGACCTGAAGTAAGTTCCGATCTGAAATTATCACTGATCAAAAAAGAAAGACAACACAGTTTAAAATATAAAACATCATCCTTAAACTGGTCAACAATTTAATTTAATATATTCTGAGATCTAGTTCAGAGTCTCTACTGGCTCAATCTATTCATCCATCATTCTTTTTCTTGGGCTTCTGTTTTTCTTTGGAATGCTTGGCCTATTACAATCCGACAGGCAACCTCCATTGTTGATTTTAAGGCAGCTTTAGAAATCACCAGTTTTAACCTGTTCTTTCCTAAATGTTTTCTTCTGGAATTTTCATTTTTCTTGCTATATAAGCAAAAATTTTTATTACTATCATATAACCTTCTTAAGAGTGCATTTTACATACCCTACTCCAGCATAGAACGTACAGTCATCTCTCAGTATATTTGCTACTTTTACAAAGTTTTGGAAATTGTTGTCCGGTCCATTAAAGTAACCGATCACTGAACGCTTTTTTTCCTAAAAAAAAAAATGAAAAACATGAATTAAAATTTAAAAAGCACAATTTCATAATTTATAAGGTAGACATAAAAATAACTGTAACAATAACAATAATGGAGTCGTATTGTATTAGAGTCAGTATCTGCCAAATACGGACCTTTCTCTACAGCATAAATGTACTGCATGTAAACATGAAATGGACAACTCATTCATCTGACGGACATGAGCTTATTCTTGGAAATTTTCTGATTGGTCAGTTCTTAGGTAGGATTGACACGTCATTCACAATGTGCCATCTCTTCCCTTTCTTTGTGATTATTCCTAGTCATGCAGCTTGCTCATAACAAGTCTAATTTCATCCAAGGTCTTCCAAATCCAACCAGGTATCCATATAGGCTTTTACAAGCATGGCCACTGTTCACATAGTGTATAGAATGCATATATCGCAATACAATACAAGATGTCATGATGTACTTAGGTATGATTTGCATTCAAATGCAAAATCACTCTATTATCATTACTCTTTACTTTATCTCTATATCGTACATCTAACAATCGATAGCCTGCAAAAGTCTAAGTAGACTATGTATAAGCCCACATGATGTTGAAACGGGAAGAAAGCGTTAAAACATTTTTTTTTAACAATAAAACAACAAGAACACAGTTTCACGGTTGGTTGGTTTTTAACAATAAGGGTGGTAACGGTTAATGGCTATAAATAGTATAACCATCATTATTTTAAACCAAAATGACTTTTCCAACAGACTTAACCTCAAGAATACCATTAAAGCATATTTTTTCACAACTGAACTCATTTTATATTGGCTATTTAAATCTTCATCATCATCGTTGAATTTTTTTTTTTACGGCTCACTACTCTGCACTACAGATTTACATGAGGCATGCCATCCCAAAACCAGCGTACTGTCGCTGTGTTAAACTGAGTAATTACATAAGGATGTAGAAGTATTGTATACATTACTTTAGGACAGAGAAGCCATGATACTTTTACTCATAACTTTGGCAATAGTAAAGTAGATTCCAGTAAATTATCCATCATTTAAAGCTTTTACAGTGTAGAAAATAAAAACATACAGTATATAAAAAGTCAATTTTCATTTTTTGTTCAATGACACTTGTTTTTGGGATGGAAAGCCTCATTATATTTTGATTTTTTTGTCATTGATAGACTTTTTATTGGTAATATTTAATTATATTGTTTCCCTTTCAATGTAATAATTTATGTTTACTAAAGAGTGAATGTTATGAATTCTTTTTACTTTCAATTGTTGAGAAACATAATTTATGTATTTAAATAACATTTATACAGTATCTTAAAAATATTTAAGGCACAGAGGTTTCTTCACTACAGATCCCACAATGTAAATTAAAAGTCATAATATATTTTTCTTGTTTTATTTTCATTTAATATTTTAATTTATTTATTTTTTTATTTATTACATCTTTCTGGAGTGTCAATCAGAGTTAACAAAAAAGACCAATGAGAAGGAGTTACTCAACAAGCCACAAAGACACAAGTTTACATGTTTATGGTGTCGCTTTGTAGGACAACAATATTAGAGGGGTGGGACTATGAGGAAAGGTCCAATATATTCAACATAACTTCTCCAATTACTAAATTTATGAAATGTGTTTTTAATGTCTGATGAACTTTGTACAAAACTTTTTTTTCTTTCTTTTAATATATTTTGAAATAGACTAAGTAATTTACACAAGACCCCAATGGGGACTGTGGTTCCTATTAACGTAATACAATTAAATTTTTTCATGTTGGCGGAAGAAGGGAAGCCCACAATGGCGTTGGCGAACACAATGGTGTTTGCTAACCCCCCTTGTCATCCGATGCCACAACAAGGTCGTCGGATCAACAACAAAAAAATTGCCTATCCAAATGACATTATTTTGAATGCCAATCCCTGGTTACCATTGTATCTAGGATTCCAGGCATAAGATGTGCATGATAGTACCCTGAGGCCGATCCATCATATTTTAGCCAGTTAGACGATACCAAAAGCCATAACATTCCATAAATGGTTTGTCTTACTATAAGATTTTTTTATCTTTTCAGTAGTAGGTAGTACTGTCTGTCCTTAGTTATGGCTTTAATATTGTCAAAATATAAAATCAATAAATAAGGCATGACTTCATATCCAGTTTAAGCTTGGGTAAGGAAATTCATAATGAACAGATTTCTGGAAAGTCATACATGCCTGTTTACACAAGTCACACACACACACACACAGGCGCACTAACATCATAAAGTATTCTGCAGAATGCAAAGGTTCCTATTGTAATGTAGGCACCAAAACTTATATTTGATTTAACTTTCAATGAGTATTTTTTATTTACTTACATCAATATTATCTATATCACTGGGCTTTGCCCATTTTACAATTGGATCGGCCATTTGATCTTGTACAAATTTAACGAAAGCTTCCTTCGAGCGCTGAGCCCGATATTCACGCTTAGCAATACGTCCATTGCGAAATAACTTCAAGGTGGGATACTTAGTAATATGGTACTTGGTTGATATATCATCTGAAATAGAAAAAGAAGTAAATTAGGACAAGGTACTATGTTATTTAGACAACATTGTAAAGCTTGGTTTACCCTCCACCCCAGGGGTAAATCCAGGGGGTAGTCAAAGTGGGGGAGCACCAAAAAAGAGAAAGAAAAAAAAAGGATAGAGGGAGCATGGTACAGTCCTCCAAAATTAGCTAATATTCGATTAACATTTCATGTCCCAGTGTCTGGTCAAGCACTTCTAAACAAATTCTATAGCCCTACACCCACTCGATGCTTTGCATGTCGCATGGGACCCTGTGCAGATTTTCTCTGGATCTCTTCAAAAGTAAGAAACCTCAACGCAATGGCAGTGTATTTCCTAGGGCTTCAAGATCAGGATCAGGGCTAGCAGGTCGACAAGCACTTGGGAGAGTTAAAATAGCGGGTATCTTTGTCTGGGATTATTAAGAGAGATTATTATGCTTGGAAGAAAAAGAGGTCGAGAGTTACAGTACTCTGCAAAAAAAAGGGAGGTATTGTATAAAGCATGGAATATGCAAGAAAAGGTATATTTTACTGGGAAAGGTTGAAATAGCACTACACTGTATATGTAAATAAAAAGGGAGAGGTAGACTTTGGATAGGCAAGCAAAGATATTGTTCCTCAAAGATATTATATTCTTTATTGATATTCACCTTAACATACAGGTATATTCAAGACAGAAAGTAAAAAACAAACAAAACAAAGCAAACTACACAAATACAGAATTACCAAATCTTTAAAGTAAACCATTTGCCAAAGTTTACTCATTACAGGAAGAGGTAAAATAGAATGTAGTATTTCATGTAACCATTACAATTTAAAACAAAAATACAAATGTGTAATATTGCAAAAAACAAATGTGATGATTGGATATTTGGGTTGGTCAGATGGGAATGTGAGGTAAAATGAAAAAAAAACCCACCAAAAAACAACATTCGGGTCAATGAGGCAAGTGTTACCTGTAAGTTTGGAATAGGCAAGTAAAGGTTGTACCTGTGAAAGCCAGGGAATGGTATTATAGTTTTTTGTTATTACTGGACTGTAGGCTTGGGATGCAGGGAGATGTACTATTATGCAACTGTTAAGAGGACAGAGAGGTAGAGTGTATTGGATAGGGAAAGTAGGAGGCATTAAGAAGAAGGAAGAACTATAAGATTTGGGGAATTTTTTGAGAGAATGCTTGAAAATAAAAATGAACAAACTGACTAAATAGAAATAAAACTCTGATTAATATCATTTATTTCTTTAAAATGGCATATTATTTTATAGTGTTATGGATTCTATAAAATAGTGCTGTGTTTTACCTTGTATATTTAGTGCAATCTGTAATTTTTTTTATTTAAGTTTATTAGCAACTGGAACCAAATATTGTATTTATCTGTACATTAATTTACAGTGTACAAAACCTACAGCAGCTATCATTACGTATTCTTATGCCTACTGCACTCGCTGGTATTAATTAAGCATTTTTTGTACTAAAATAATCTGTAAATCAGCGAATAATAATTTTTTAATCCATTTTGGTTGGAAGTTACCTTATAGATCGTTTTTATACAAAATTTTTATTGTATTTTTTGGTCCCCACCCAATTTTTTTGGCAGGCCGTATATTTTTCTGAAAAGATCAATAAGTATTTCTCTATGTTTTGTGAATGTTAGACATGCAGATCAATCAAATTAATTATCGTAGTTCCTTGGGTAAAGGGCCACCTCGGATATAACCCCATCCTCTACTTACACCTAATTTTCCCTCAAGCCCTTCCTCAAGCAAAAGCCCAGGGTATTTTAGCAGACTTTTACAAATACCGAAAGGTCCACTGATTAATCTCAGATAAGAAAGTATAATACATACTCCAAGTATTGAAATACACGCCATCGTGTTGGGATTCAATATTTCGACATTAATTATGTCATCATCAGGAATGATG